AGCTCAGCTGGCAGAGATGGTGGCAGCAGGACCTACAGCTCAAAGTCAACTGACCGACATATCCAGCTTGAACCCAACCTGGGAAACATGAGACCCTGTCCACACCAAACCAATGAAAACAAAACGAAACTCTGGGAGACAAATCAGGACTGCTCCAAGGAAGATCAAAAGTTTCCTGAAAATAGGAAAGTGACTGTATGTATGGCTAATAGCATGCAGGATTAAACTGCAAACAGGGGAGCGAGAGATGGTTCAACAGTTAGGAGCTCTGGCTTAATTCTTGCAGGCCTGGGTTTGGTTCCCAGCACCCACAAGGTCACTTACAACTGTCTTTAACTGTAATTTCAGGGGATTTGATGCCCTCTTCTGATCTCCCTGGACACTGCATCCATACGGGGCACATGTAATCTTTAAAAAACAAACAAAAACCTCAACCATATTGGGAGGGAGGCAGAGACGGGTAGAGCTGAACTGATAGGTCCAGGGAGGGCAGCAAATGAGAACCAGCTCAGATTAAAAAGTCTATAAACAACCACACAGATGTGTTATAGAGAAACTTGGAAATAAAAGCCAAAGAGAAACTGCTATGGTGGAGATAATCCCAAGAAGAAATAAGAGTCAGACTAGGCATAGCCAGAAGCTGGAAACAACCTAAGTGCCCCTCGATTGAAGAATGGATAAGGAAAATGTGGTACATTTACACAATGGAGTACTACACAGCAGGAAAAAATAACGACAGCTTGAATTTTGCAGGAAAATGGATGGAACTAGAAAACATTATTTTGAGTGAGGTAACCCAGACACAGAAAGACAAATATCACATGTACTCACTCATATGTGGTTTTGAAACATAAAGCAAAGAAAGCCAGCCTACAACTCACAATCCCAGAGAACCTAGACAACAATGAGGACTCCAAGAGAGGCTTACATAGATCTACTCTACATGGGAAGTAGAAAAAGACAACAAGTTCTCCGAAGTAAATTAGGAGCATGGGGACTTTGGGGGAGGATTGAAGCGGGGAGAGGAGAGGCAGGGAGAGGAACAGAGAAAAATGTAGAGCTCAATAAATATCATGGGTTCTGAGAGGGGAAAAAAAAAAAGAGTCAGACTAGGTTGAGAGAAATGGGGCCCTGACCCTTTCCATCCACAGCAGTAAAACAGAAATATGCAAAGCTCTATATAAACATTAAGTTACAGCCAAGCACGCTAATATGTACCTTCAAACCCAGCGCCCAGGAGGCAGAAGTGAGTTCGAGGCCTGCCTGGTCTTCATATTGAGTAAGTAGACAGGCCAGAAATACACAGTGAGACCTTGTCTAAAAAAAAAAAAAAACCCACTAAATTAAACTAAAACTTGAGCAAAAATAATGCACAATGCTGAGTTTACAAACGAGCATTTGCCAGGACAGCTTCCTGACCAGGACGAGACACAGGCTCTGCCCATCAGGAACCTATTTTACCGCAGAGCAAGTGAGGCAGTGGTCCAGGGACCGTGACCAGGACAGCCAGAGGTAGGCACTGGCAGCCTCTATCACTCAGATCCTTCACTGCCTGCCAGCATACGGTGGCTCCATCTTGTTGGAAACCAGACTTTACAGAACCTCCAGTAAAAGAGACGTTTAAAAAGGAGATGATTCAGTTGGTAAAGCCCTTGTCACGAGAGCACAGGGATCCGACCGAGTCTGGATTCCTGGTACCCAGGAGTCTGTAACAAGTCTAGTGCTGGGGAGGCAGAGGCAGGTAGGTCCCCAGAGCGCTGTAGCCAGCGGTCTAGATAAACTGAGGAGTTCTAGGTTCAATAAGAGAAGGTGAGAAGAGAAGACACCTGATGTTGGTGCGAGAAGACACTCGCACATGTGTGCACACTCACACACACACGCACACTCATGCACACATGCACACATACTCACACATACGCACACACAAGATCAGACACATTCAAACCCCCACACCATAAAAACAAAACAATAAAGAAACAAACGGAAACTGAGGCAGCCTCCTGACACCATGTGGCAACGGAAACGCTCCGCTGCCACACTGAAGACTGTCACACACTGTCACACACCTGTCTCTCTGTTGTCACACACCCATCTCTCTGTTCAAACGGGCACCTGGTTCCCCGTGGCCACCCAGAGAGGGGTGGAATCTGGCAGATTCTGCAGAGTCCTCAGAAACAGAAGCAGGAAGGCAGCTTGTCATAATGAGGTGCCCTACTCCACATATTTAGGGTAGTCCTAAAAATAAAACACAGTGTCCAAACATACTGGGGCAGGGGGATGCCAGGTTGTCTCCAGATCAGAACTGAAGGAGTGACAGACCAAGACAGCTCACTTTGGACAAGGCTTTCTGACCCTTCTAAAAGCAACACAGCTGAGCCTGCTCCCTGCTTGACCCCTTAGCCGAGAGCTGCAATCCTCAAGGTTCCCGACTTTCCTAGGAAGTGAATTTTCGGGAATGATGGCCCGAGTACCATCTTTCCTACCAGAAAGGGAGGGCACAGTACAAGCAAAGGCCCTGTGGCATGAGACAGCAAGAGGCGTAAGTGAACAAGACGATGCCAGAACCATCAATGCCTAGGAGCACCACGGGACAAGTCCAAAGATGAAACAGTCGCCGGGCAGTGGTGGTGCACTCCTTTAATCCCAGCACTTGGGAGGCAGAGGCAGGTGGATTGCTGTGAGTTCGAGGCCAGCCTGGTCTACAAGAGCTTGTTCCAGGACAGGCTCCAAAGCCACAGAGAAACCCTGTCTCGAAAAAAAACCAAAAAACAAAAAACAAAAAGAAAGAAAAAAAAAGAAGAAAGAAAGAAAGAAAGGAAGGAAGGAAGGAAGGAAGAAAGAAAGAGTCTCGGTTCTTCAGATACTGCCCCACGAAACGGCCTGAGGTGTTCCCCTCATCCAAAATGGTCCCTGCTCAATAACATCCTCACAACAGATCCAGGTCAGGAAAGGGAACAACCACTCTATATTAGGACAGTTTGGAGCCCAAACCCCTGGACAGTCTCCTAGTGGTCAGACCTTGGCTCATTTGTGGTGCCCAGAACACTCCACAGACGTATCAGAGATTGGACAACACGATGTGGGAAAACTTCCAAGAACACTCACTGGCCCCACGGCCAACTCCAATGGTTCCTACACCCAGCCGGAGGCCTGAAGCTACCGGGGCGCCTACCTGCAGCTCTTGGAATGAACCGACAGGAGCTCCAGGGACTCCAGGGACACTCTGACCTGCATGACAGGAATGACAGGCAGGCCAGCCAGTGCTGCAAGGTAGCACAGCCTGAGGCTCAGGGACTGAGTCTAAGAGGCAAGAACCGAGCTCACAGCTAAGTTCTTATATAACTACTGGTGCCTCTGAACTTTACAGAGACAGGGAAAGGGGTCTGTGGGAAGCCGATGCCTCTTAGACAAGAAGGTGGTCCTATGCAGGCTTGGTCAAGGCACAAGCACAGGTTAACAACGCAGCCACGACCCCTTCTGTGTTCCGCCAGCACCCATAGGGGATGGCTTTGCGAGGGGGGCCCGTTGGTTCCTGGGAGCTGTCCCTGACCATGTTTCTGTGAAGCTACCAAGGAGCACTGGGCCAAAACCTACCAGGAAGACCTCAAGACCCAGTGCCAGTCTGGGGACCCTGGCTACCTGTCCACTTTCTGAGGGCTCAAGGTGGCTAAGCACCGCAAGCAAGTCGTCTCGCAAATGGAAAGAGGCCACGACACCCATGCATCCCATAGAACTATGACACAGCTTGTTTCTCCTCCCAAGCAAGCAAGCACCCCTGCTAGCTGCTCTTGTCTCAAACCCATCCACAGGCCACATTTGATAATTCTAGGACCCAAAACAAACAAGCCACCCTTGAGACCCATTCTGGCTGCATGGAACAGCCCATGCCTGGGGGAAGGGCAGTCTATACACCCCCACCCCCCTGGAAGCGGGGCGGGGGGGGGGGGATGTCTCTCTGCACACTCCAAACAAGGGAGCGATACCTTTGGACAACCTGGTTCTCCAGGCCCCAAGGCCCCTGCCAGCTTAGTATGGGAAGCTGGTAGTTGTTTTTGTTTAAAAAAACAAACAAACAAAAAAAAAACAAAAAAGCAAAAACTCTTGCAAAATGGTCGTCAGAGAAGCATCCCCATTCCCATGCATGCCCCTCACCCTCAATCCCCCGAACAGCCCTCAGACCCATCTCAATCTACCTCCAACCATCTCAGGGCAGCAAACAGGGTGCCGAGGCCGCACTGCCTGCCGACATCCGAGAACCCAGGTGCACGTCAGTCCCTTTCGTGCCACCCAGACTCCAACACGAGGCTGCTGCCCGTGCAAAGCCACCGCTCAGACAGGCAGGGCAGGCTCGCCCCTGAAAGCCGCCCAGCCAGAGATGCGCTTGTTTATGGAAACAGGTGCTGGTTGTTTGAGTGCCAGGCGGGAGTCCAGACCTCACCATTGTGGTCCCACTAATCCAGCCGTTTGCAGAAATGCAGGGCGAGAAGGAAGCGACGGAGATGCATGTTCCCTCTGACCACAACACAGATTCCCGGCTGCAAAATCCCAGTCACAGCAACACACTGCCCAGTTGCCGGAGGCTCCCCGGGGCTAGGCTTCCCAGGACCTCGCCAGGCTCTGCAGCAGTTCTGCCCACCCCAGGCCTCCAGCACGTACCACCCGTGCACCATCTCCTTCCCTCGCATTCCCCTCAGCTGCACAGGCAGCTCGGCATGCTTCACGATGGCTTATTTTTCTGAAAACCTGTCACCAGGGAAGACAACAGCCTCTCGGCGTGCTTCCCCTGACATCACCGCCACCGCGAGATGCTGCGGCAGCATCCATGCCCTGGTCGACTTGGTGCTGGAACATCTGTGCAGCACGCAGGCTGTGGCAGAGCCAAGATGAGACCTGAAGCACTGACTTGTGCTCCGCGGCCCCGGGCACTGCATCCGTGAGGCCTGCAACGCCACCACCTTAGGCCTGGTGGAAAACCCACAGGAGAGCCGTGCATTACTTACCGGCTTTCTCGGAGGCCTCCCCAGCACAGAATTCTTTATGCTCTACCGAAGGTGGGTGTGCAAGGAGGCATCTTCCGTCCCTTTAAGGAGCCGATGCTGCGACCCTGGCCTCCTGGACCGACAATAGGCGGGGTGGGTCTCCAGATCGACAATAGGCAGGGTGGGCTACTGCTGGAGGAGCAGACATCTAATACAAGGTTGGCTGTCCTGTTCCCCGCCTCTCACATCTCTGCCTCCTCATGTCTCCAGGCCCGGGTGGTACCCGGCTCCCCTGGGAAGCTACAGCCGGCAGCTGAGGCACAAACTAAAACACGGCATGGATACGGAGGAGCTGACGTCACACGAAAACAAGCGTCTCTGTGCTGAGCCTGCCGGACAGGAGGAGAGCCAGCCAGAGCCCGGCCAAGGAGGGCTCATACTTAGCAGTCTCTAAAACGCCACATCTGGGAAACACCCCAGGTGGCTAGGGTCCTCCCAATCAGCACCAGGCTGGGATTCTGGGTGCAGCAACTCCAGGTATAACAATGGTCTCTGATAGGCAATCAGAGGGACTCTACACAAAAGCCCAAGGGTCCCAATCACTGAGGGACTGTCCAGTGCCCAGGATGAGAGGACTATGGCCTATTCATTGCAGGCCAAATCCTAAGTCAAATGGCCTTTGCATATAGTAGGTGCGACCACTACATGGACCCCACCACATGGAGAAAAACAGGGGGTTACTCTCCATGTAGAAACGGGAAAGAGTTTTCCCAGGGAACTGAGTGAATCTCACTGGCCTGGTACCACCCACATGGAGGCCAAGGTAAGGAGGTGATCCATCACACAATGTGACAATGTGGGACCTAACACACGGTGCTGTGTCTTGCCGGACTACAGCCAACCTGGTGTCCCACACAGACTGGGAGTCAGTGATGGACTGCTTGATCCCCATGCCTTCCCATGAGTACTCGGGCATGAAGTCCACCCAGGACCCCCTCCTCGGGGCTGGCCAACCTCGACCTGCTGCTGGCTCTGCCATGTCTGCAACACAGAAGCATCAGCTCACAGGACTGTGTTTGTTTGCCTAAGCTCTGGGTTCAGATCGCAGCTCCTTCAGTCAGACCCTGAAGAGAGGGAGGCCACTCCTTCATGGACAAAGCTTCCCTCTTTTGGAAGCTGCGCACAAGGCACTTCAGAAAAAGGGAAACTTATAAACACGGCACTCAAGGCCCCTCTTCTACAAACAAGGCATGGCAGAGCACAGCACCTGGTACTCCAGCCAGGCAGGGTAAGAATGACTCTTGAGCCAGCTGTGGTGGTGGCAGACCTGTAATTCTACCACTTGAGAGGCTAAGGCAAGAGGACTGCAAATGGAAAGCCCGCCTAGGGTTGTGGGTGTAGTTCAGTGGTACAACGCTCACCTACTCTGTACAAAGCCGTGGACTAAATTTTCAGCCCTTAAAAAAAAAAAAACAACAAAAACGGGAAAAAAACCCCAAAAACCTTATATTTTTAATTGGCTAAAGAAGATAATAATATTTTGAAAATCAAGACCATGTCTGAAATAGACTTCGGTGAAAGTTTTATTGGGATACTCACCGAGGTACAGTACACTGACACTCACCGAGGTACAGTACAAT